TCTGGAATAAAATCAGCCAGATATTCGAGAATCCTGATATAAGTTATATGGCGTCTAGATCAAGTTTCCGCCAAATTTTATCTATTTTGGACAACAAGACACTATGTTATGAGAAAAACACGCTCGGACTGACAGACAGTCAACCGGATTTCAACTTTTCACGTCATTACATTCATATATATGTATACATATATATATGTATTTATTTTTAGGTGATACTTACAACCGTTAGGTGAACAAAGCTATTATACTCTGTAGCTGCAGGTTGCAAGAGCAGAAAAACCAATAAAATAATCTTGCATAGCATTTCTGTTGTTGTTTGTCGGCCTGTTGCTTTTGTCTGCCTCTTCATTTCTGGTTACAGCGATGGGCAATTAATTTTTGGTGTCAACTTCTGGCTGTTTCTCCACCTCCCGCCGTTGCAGTGCGGTGGCATTTTCCTCTTCACATACCACAAAATCCAGTTTGCGTTGGCATTGTGTTCATTCGCTGTTGCTTAGGCAACTTTTTTAATATGCATAAATGTGTTGTTGTTGTTTTTTTTACTTTACTTCCTTTTTTTGCTTTAATTTTGCTGTAACATTTACGATTTCAAGGTCGTCAGACTACCAGCGCACGTTGGCTATCAAACATTCATCTTCCCCACTGCTGCAACAGCAGTTTCATTCTTCGATTTTTTCGACAAACCAAATTCATTTTTATCTCTTGCTTTCGCTTTCATCGGCTTCATTTATCGCTAACATCACATCAACGGTGCTGCTGATGCTAGCAATTTTTCCTTTTGATTGTTGTTGCTCCTTTTTGTTTGGTTTTTCACTTCACAAGTACTGGAGTTTCATGTTTCATGCTGTGTGTTGTGTGTTGTTCACGTTGGTCTCGCCTTTGCAATATTAACATCTAAATACTAATTGGTGGTTTCATATTTTTTACTGTTATCTTCACACCACCCATAGCGAGTGTATGCTTTTATGGTATATGAACATCTACTTACAAACATATATTACCATAGTTTCTCAATCGGTGTGGGCAGTGTTGATGTGCTGCAATTTTGATGACTTTTTCCGCCAATTCATTATACTATTTATGCATTGTTTGTCCCAGATGTTGAAATTGAGAGAATATTTCGTAATGGTCTCATTTTGGGTTTTAATTTAAAAGAAGATAAGGAATATGGCTTTGAAGGAGATTGGACTTGGTTTGGTACGGCATAAAAATTAATCCTTAAAATCCATCATTTTAACATTTATTTTTCTTCAAAGAGCAGTAACATAAATTTTTTATATTATGTTATTACAAATTTTGACATAAAAATATATTAAAAAATGTCAGAACACAAATCAGCTATATTCAAATTATCTATTAGTAACTAATACAAATCACTAATTTATACAAATCTGTAACCATTAATGCCCTCTAATCAAATTTGATCCAGACGGACAGAGAAAATCGCCTTCAAAATAAGCTTCTAAGCCTGCTCCATCGGCTGCCAAAGCTTAATCAAATTTTTTCTATACGATTGTTATACTTGGCATGCGGTCAAAATCGCATTGAAGGTGATCCACAACACGGTTGTCAAATAAAACGATTAGCAACGGACTGATATTTGAATGGCTTTGAGATGATTTCTTTTTATGATTTTTGCCAAATTTTTGTATCGACAATCGCTAGATTGTTACCGTCATCAGTAGTGATGGTTTGAACGAGTGAAGGGTCCTCAGTTACGTCGTCAAGCAATTCTTTTGCGACTTTTATTCTATGATGCAGGCGTTTTAGCAAGAGTCTAGTCTCTGGCATGCTTCATACCTGAAATATTAACCGAAATGATTGGGTCGATCCATCCACATAAGAGATGTTGAGATCCCTCGCTATCTCTCTGATACCAACATGACAGTTTTCAAGCTCAGTTTCTTTAACTTTATCAATTTTGCCATTATTAATTGGATGGAAAAACAACACGAGCTAAGCTTTCGATGACTTCGTAACCATCACCGAATGCTTTGCACCGGAAAAACCTTGGACTCAATAATTCGGCATATTGAAGCCTAATGAGCATTTTGACCTTCTCCAGATGACCGGTATCGATCACACCTTGTGAATTCTAAAAGGCCATCACCACTTTTCGGCTCTCTCTTCGGCTCAGCTATATACCAATATGGACTCATCAATACAATTAAATGTCCGCCTACTGTATGGGGCACAAGCTGAAGCTCCTTAAAAACCGAAGTAACACCACGTTAAAACTTTATTTTTTGACGGTCGCCAAACCATATTAACATACTATATACGCTGTCGAAGCGCTCTTTGATTTTACTGTGCAATTACTCTTCCAAAATCAAAAATAGAATCACCGATCCATTCTATTCCTTTTCCATTTTTCTACAAAAATGTAATTTTTTAATCAAGCTAAACAACAACATTACCTGTAAATTTGTGCACAATTATAAAATTATGCAAAGAAAACGTATAGCATTTAAAGTGTAAAATAATATAAAATAGCAAGCGATATTATGAAATAATTATACATACCCATAACATACTTATAGGTTGCCAAAGTTATAAAGCTCAAATTATAAAATGTACTAAGTTTAATTTCCTCTTCCGCTTGCTAATAAACTTAGCTCAAAAGTTCCCAAAGCTCTTTTCTAATTAAATGTTAACATTGGTCTCCTTTACTATATTTGTAGCAGCCACTTTTTGTTAGCTTACTGTTAGAGACAAAATTGAAGCTTAAAAGCTTAACCCAAATTGTTTTCCGATAAAATGTATGCTAACCTATGCAAATAATATGCGCCCAGACAACATTAATCAGTGGCATGTGATTTTGAATGATAAATATATTCAAATAGGTCTACGGTACTTTTATCAGAGTAAAACATAGCAAACAGTTAGTTTTGTTTTCGCAGATATGCGTACACTATTCTATTACCATTGATTTTTCCGTAGGTTATTACTTTCTGTCCAAAAAAATTTATTGATTACTCCAAGGATACTTACAAGGTGCATTCCAAAGTAAACAGAACAAATGGTTTTCTCTACAAAATAAATTTATTTTGTTCAAAATAGTATCCTTCTGCTTCAATATAGCTTTTTGCATATGCCGGTGCAAGCCTTTTGAATAGTCTCTGCGTCTGCATAACGCTTTCCTTTCATAGGAAAATGCATTTTTCTGAAAAGAAAAAAGTCGCAAAGTGCCATATCATGTGAATACGGGGAGTGGTTAATGGTTAAAATGTGATTTTTGCTCAAATAATCGGTCACAAGAATCGAATCGAATGTCGGATTCTGAGCAATTTTTGGTAAGCCAAAGTGGTCGGTCAAAATGAGATAAATCTATGTTTTGGAGATGTTCAATTCCATTTCTTTAAATTTCAATGATGATTTCGGCTGATTTTTGATGAATTCACGCACAGTTTCGATGGAATTTCTGGTGATCATGGATTTTGATTGGCCCACATGTTGATTGTCAGTTATGTCCTCACGACCACTTTGAAAACATTGAAACTACTCGTGTACTCTACTAGGGCATAGTCAATCATCGCCATAAACTTGTTTCATAAATTGAAGCGTTTCGATAAAAGTTTTACCAATTTTAAAACAAAATCTAATGTTGGCTCTTTATTCGAAGCTCATTTTCGCACCGTAAACACAAACCTACTAACACTTAAAACGCAATAACTTCACTTCCAATCGATAAAATGTGATGAAATTCTCACTGGACAATCGATATTACTTGTATGTATATGAATTTATATGTTTTGAACCATTATTTGGGACACGTTGTTTCCCATCTGAAAGAGCTCGAACTCCTGCATTCCTATTAGAAATTCAAAATTGTATATGTTTCATTCCTTTTTGTGGCAAACCCGGTAATGTCTATTTAACTATAAACTGACTTTAGTTCCATTGGTTGATTGGTTAAGGGTTACATCAAAACGATTTTGGACTTACTCCTGCGGTGATCTCGACATTCCCTGTGCATGAAAATCAAAATAAGATCTGCCAAAAGATATTCTCTGATCTATTGTCGAAAAATAATCAAAAATTAAAAAAACTGCCCACGTTTATAAAGACAGAAAAATTTTGCTCAACATTTTATACTTTTGTCAATGTTCGACTTTTGTTTTGATATAAAAAAATGGTAGGTTATTACATATATAACCTATAGAAATATGAAATAAGCTTTTTCATAATTTTCACGCCATGTGTCCATTATTTGATTGACTCCCCTGCAACTAAAGGTCAAGGGTATTAAAAGTTTTAAATTCTTATATAAAACCTTTCGAATGTTCAATATTATTATTTTAAAATACACCAAATCCTACTGATGTCAAAACACTTAAATATTACAAAAAGTTATGTAATTGCCAGTAGTGATTGCATTTTGCTAAAAGCCTCCTTTTAAAATTTTTAATTCCACAAATTTCGAAATATATTACCAATTCATGTCATTAAAAGCACCAAATTCAAAGCAGAATTATTAATGACTTTTTAATCAAGTCTCAAACCACATGCACTTTTGCATTATACGATTCCCCTACATGCAAAGTTAGAGGTCTTTCAAATATTTGACATCACAAGGTTCCAAAATAATGATTTGATTTATTTAACCAAAGTTACGCACAGGTGTTTATTCAATTGTATTTGACTCTAGTCTTTCTTACTTAAGACGTTTGGTCTCTTATATTGCTAAATACTATTAAGTTCCAAATTTTAAATGATTTTTGCTTGTGTTATTCATTCGAGTTTCTAAACTAAACCAGTATTTGAACAGTCAGTGGCGTATTAGTCGCTCTTTCCACAGAATTGCGGCTTAGAAGAATTTCAATTATTTAAAGAGATTGTAGGAAGTAAGCGCTAAATTTAATGAAATTCCAGAAAACAAAAGCACATACAAAAGTTCCCCGCAGATTGCAAAGAAGTAGAAGGGATATTATGTAAGCATTTCAATTTTATTGTTTAAATACTTTGAGGAAATAGTGGATTTCCCCCATTCTTTCTAATCGTACCTAATTATAGCACTAAAAATTTAGCAACAACGAAAGCAACAAAAATGATTATGGTACTAAAATATTGAAAATACAAACACACACAACAAAAAAAACACTCATACACAAAAAATACTTTCAGGCTCACATGCCAAAGTTAAATGAATAAACTTAAATACACTTATTCCAAAAAGTGGATAGAAAAAATACTTTTGCATTGTTTTAGCACAAATCGCGCGAAAGAATGTCAAGAGGTCAAGATAACTGACGTGCTGACCATTACTACCGCTCACAGCAACGCGCTATCACGACCGCCTGGCATGGTTTGTACGCATATACTACACCTCTGTTAGTGAACGATTCACGCTAGTAAAGATAATAGCTGCCTCTACACCGTAGCCCCTGCCCCTGCACCCATGCAGCGCGAGCAATCAGCCCGCCAGCGATTGCAGTGATTTCGGTGATAATTTACGATTCTTCGAATTGGCTCTGGCACGCATGCGTAAGGCCGTACGTTCGGCTGTGGCACGCTCGTCCGACATGTAGATACCAGAATTGGGGGCGATGTTGGGTATTTGGCCGACCTCAGTGCGCCGTGTACCATCGGCCAGTTGATAACTGTAAAAACGAAAATGTGAGTATATTTCTCAATGTGTGGATATGTAAATGATTGTCTGTAAAGGTATACGTAAATGTGTTTTTTGCGAAAATCCTTTCATTCGCAGAATTGACAGTGCTGATTATGTAATGGAGTATCCGCAATGGCAAAGGTTACTTACGAGTAGCGATAACCGTCGGGTGTGGGCATATACTCGAAATCGCCCAAGTAGATTTTTGGCAAATTTATTGCCAACAACGGATTGTTGTTGTGTGCATTGCGTCTGTTGTTGTTATTGTTCTGATTATTATTGTTGTTGTTTTGAAGGTTATTGGGATTGTAATTGCTGTTTAAATTGTTATTGTTGTTGATGTTGTTATAATTGCTGTTCACGTTGTTATTGTACCCATTGTTATTGTTGTTGTTGTAATTATTGAAATTGCCATTTTGAGTGTTGTAACCGCCATGGTGGTTGTTATAGTATTGGCGACCATAAGGATAATGCGCCTCGCTGCAAGCCACTATGAATGCGATCAACGCCAAGAACTGCAGCTGTAAAAAAATCAATTAAAAACCGTTAATAACTCACTTCCAATGCGTTTTTTAGCGAAACTGGGAAATCAATCGTCTCCATCGTACTCTTTCTTGCCTTCCTACTTGTTACTTACAATTTTTGTATCAATCATATTGCCAACAATTGCAACTGTTCCTCTGCGCTGCCACAAACAAAATGATTACAATTTTCCGCACAAATTTTTATTGTAGCCAAATAGCCGAACAATCGTCCGCCTAATACATGTATGAGAAGTCACATTTGTTTGCTTGTCAGCACAAAAGGCAATCAAACAAAAACTAAAAACAAAATAACCGAAAAACTATAGATAACAACTCAGCAAATTGGCAGCAGTAGACAACCAAAACAATAACAACTACAGCCTATGCGCTCCTGCATTGGCCTGAGAGGCACTCAATACAGCATCGAGAAAAACCGAAGTGTTTTTTGGCTTTTTTATGAATGTTGTTAATAATTTGCCACCAAAATCTGACTATACATTTGATTATGGCTCGCAACTGTTAATTGAGTTGCTGCAAAGTTTTCTTATTACATTTGCTTACTTGCCGTTTAATTGTACATGCAAGTTCGTTGCTTAAGTCTTTGGTTTGGCTCAACGCCATTGGTTTGATTTCGTCTCGAATACTAATCAATCAGAGAGGGCGCGAAATTTGTGCGTGAAACGTGTAAACTAGCAGCACAGCAATTGACTGACGCCACTTGAGCTTATTTTCTGGTTGAAGTGTTTGTTTTTACTGCATATTATATTAAATTGTACACATGCTGTATGTAAGCATGTAAATATGTATGATGCTACTTCATTGTTCGTGTTTGTGGTTAATTTGTAGATATATGTATATGTGTATGCATATGCAGACATTTCGTAACTGTACATTTTGTCAAGTAGTTTGTTCCCTCGTCTTGCCGTTGACCATCGCCACAGCTGATCGCCAGTACTTGTAGCGATTTAATTTGAAAACGGCCGAAAATCCATCACATACGCAGACATTTTTAATATGCCGTGCATAAGTCAATGCCGTTCAAGAAAGTTCATCGCGTTCGAGGGAATTTCTTTTTTGCTTTATGCGTATGACAACACATACATACAAACAGTACGTGCTATGAGCGTATTTCAATGTATAATTACAAGACATTTTAATGAAGCTCTTCCTCTTTGCATTATTGGTATTTACTATTGACAACTCAATGTCAAATATTTAGCTTATTGAGATACAAGTTTGACATATTTCAATGTAACAATTATAAAAATATGCATTAATCTGTTTGACACTGACCAAGTTATCTGTGTATTCTGGTGCGGAGGTTTTTAAATAAACGAAAAAATTTAACATTTTGCCAACACTTGAAACATACTATAGAAAATATATATTTTCTTTTCACAAAACAACTATATGAATATTTTTTCTCGAAAGTAAAATTTTTTAATATAGTAATAAACGCGAAACTTCGAAGAAAAGATTTTAATTCTAATATCAATTTTCCATTATACGAAGTAGTAACTGCAATAACTTTAAACACTAAAATTTCAACATAATACTGTAACATTCCTTTGAGATGTAAATCTTCTCTCGTAATATATATTCCACTTATAATTCTATAGTTTATTTATTTTTTTTTTTAATTTATTCTGAAGTAAACGTAAATTTAAATAAATTTTAATTATAATGTTTTCAGGTACTAGATAAGAATAATGTCATACCGGGACATCAAATTGGATTTCGCCGATATCACAGTACGTCTAACCAACGCCACTGTGCGGTTATCAATTTCCCTCTTCTAAAGGATACAAATATCGCACAATGAGAGTATGCCTTCCTTCAGATAGTGATATTCCACCGAAACATTTATCGATTCACAATCACATATGTTCGAATGCAAAGCAAAAGCACTAACTGCAATTACTGAGCTTATTTAAGCTTTGAACAGTTTCATTCAGCTGTTTCCGAAACCTATTTTAAGCTTTTTATCACTCTACATCAACTTAAGTAAATAATTTTTTTAGTAAAACGCTAAAAGCTACACATATACTTAAGGATCACTACATTCATTGATGGATACATACGAAAAGCACTGATGTTCCTTCTCAGCAAATTCTCAAATTTGTATATTATATTTTTATATTATACATTTCACTGTGGCTGATACATAGATAATACTACTACTACCATCTATATGATTTCTATTAGTTGGATTATAACTATTTGTTAATGAGATACTGATAAAACTTTTGTGAAGCAACTTGTGTTAGCTTACAAAAAATGGATCACAAAGCATTTCGTGTGTTAATAAAGCATTGCTTTTTGGGGGCAGATACTGTTGAATTTGGGGTCAGGGAAATCCACCGTTGAAAAGATATTTGCTAAGCTGAAAACAGGCGAAATGAGCACCGAAGACCATGATGTTCTAAAGAGGCGAAAGCTCTGTGCAAAGTGGGTGCCTCGCATGTTCATAATCCAACCGAAACAATGAAAAACTGATACTGAGAAGTGTTTAGATGCTCTCTAATCAGAATAAAGCCGAATTTTTGTGCCGGTGATAGAAACATTTCCACTGGAGTCCAATCGGCAGTCATTCTAGTGGACTGTACATGATGATCCTTTTCTCAGGCGTGGAAAGACGAAAAAGTCGACTGGAAAGAATATGACATCAGTCTTATGGGATGCACGTTTTATAATATATACTTTACAACTAATTACTGAGCCAGTGTTAATATACTTCACAGCGAATTTCTTTGTAGTTCAATTCTACAATTCTAAATACTCAGTAATTATGTTATTTTTGAGGAAGAACCTGTTTAAAATTGAACGCATATATTCAAATGATTCCTACAAACCTGAATTTTGAAAAAAATTCCTATGATTTTAAATATAATTTTTGTATTAAATTTCGACCTTACCCTGGTTCTAAGCTACCTCCCCACCAATTTTTAGCCAAATCGGTTCAGCCGGTCATTAGATATAAATGGTGTAACTAACAACAACATTCTTTTATATGTATAGATAGATTATCCAATAATTTCATAAAAGAAATATTTTAAAAAATAACAAACAATAATTATCCTAAAATTGTTAATTCTGTACATATAAAAAGATCTGCTATATCTGTGATAGATAGTTTCAGATTCCTTCGGTCATTCGTAGCTGTTTGACAGCTCGTATTTCTGTCAGTGCTTTTAGGAACCAATTGTCGTATTAAGACTCGTGGTTTTGGTTGACTTTAAGCAAATACTACTAATGAACTGTAGGTTTTCGGTCATGAACTTTTCCATTGGGATCATAGCAAATATTCATAATACTTAGCAAAACCATTATAAAGCATTTTAATAGGGAGCTTCCATTGCAAACAAACTTAGACGTAACAACCACAGCACTTTACACCTTTAGAAGGTAGGTTTGGGCGTGGGTCCAAACTTGACAATCGAGTGGAAGGTGGTATCTTTTCAAAAAATTATCAGGTATGGTGGTCATACTACCACACTACTGCAGTGTCTTTCAAGGAGAGGTCACCGCAATTAAAGAAAGACTTCTTGTTCTGACAAGTAATGAGCTCATAACAGGAAATGTATTATATATACAGATAGCCAAGCGGGTTCAAAATTACTAAAGGATCTTAGTATTTTCAAAGATAGTAAAATAATACCTTGAACATTCTCTTGCACTATAAACCATTACAGGTTACCAGAATATAGTGATACACCAGGTAATTGAACTAGCCAGAACAGGAACCAGACGACCATTAGACTCCAAAAAACAGTGAACTTATAATTTATGTTGAGACTATCTCTAACTTACTGAACAAGCGAGCGTGTCATGAATAGAATACTCCGTTTATTAAAACTCAAAAGGAATGACATAAGAACTCTAGGAGGAGCGCTAACAGGTTACTACCTAATCGACAGATATACTGACGGAATTGTAGCGTAAAGGCTGTCAAGACGTAGAAGAGAATATAATTTAGAACATTTTCTATGCGAATTGAAAGCTTTATATATAAAAAGGATCGCAACTTTCTCTCGAAGGTTTCTTGACGATGTCTTGAAGGCTGTACAGTTAAAACTTTTTGTATTGATGAACTTCTTCGGGAGAACAAGGTGGTTCAGAGAGGTGATAACTAGTGAGGGGATTTCATTCCCAGTAAAAGCTCTTGGAACTAAATTTCTTATTGATGCAGTAGTCAGCCAAAAGGCCTGATCTCAATCCGATTGAGAATTTGTGGTCAATCCTCAAATGAAGGTTACGACAACACTGATCAACAACTGATCATTTTAATCGGAATTAAACATGAACTAACGGTATAAAAAGCTTATTTAAATGTCTTTGCCGTTTTAATAATTATGCAATGGGATGCTTCCCAAGTATCTTTCAGGCTAAAGTTTTTGCCATATGTCAGTGCGCAGAAGTCAACCTCCGCCGCAACTATCGCAGCCAGCGCATAGCCATTCTCAGCGATAGTCAAGTGGCACTAAAAGCGATCTCATCATATGAGACCAAATCGTTTTTAGTCGAGGTATGCATAGAAAGGCTAAACCGCCCGTCCTCATGCAACCGGGTGCACCTAATTTGGGTGCCAGGACATACATAAGTTAATAGAAGGAAATGAGAAGGCCGACGAACTGGCCCGCGCTGCGGCAGCGTCCAAGATGATGAGACCAGCCGTTCTTACGTCAGTCGGGTCTACGTAACCGGAACGGACCCGAACAAAATGGAGGCACATTATTTGATCCCTTTTCCTCTTTCTTCCTCAAGAGCAAGAAAAAATTGAAAGTAAGCATAATACATCTCGAATTTATCAGTTCGAAAATAAGGCAACGAGAAAATGTATAAACTTTTATAAACCTATATACCCTATATACCTTAAATTATTACCAATACCAATTAGAAGAAAAACTAAAGTTAATGGCATATATTCTATCATACAAACATAGTTTTATAACTGTAATCTACATAGAAGTATTAACATGCGTCATAATTCCGCTATATACAATACAACAACCTAAATTTATTTCGTTATCACAACTTAAAATACGGGTACATAAGTAATCATTACAATAACACTAAAAAATAATACGAATACTCGCAAAAGATTTAAATTATATGCATATAGTTTCTTTTATAAGATTTCTTTTTCTGCTCAAACTTTATCATTATGTAT